TTTCTTTCTTTCTTTCTTTCTTTCTTTCTTTCTTTCTTTCTTTCTTTCTTTCTTTCTTTCTTTCTTTTCTTTCTTTCTTTCTTTCTTTCTTTTCTTTCTTTCTTTCTTTTCTTTCTTTCTTTCTTTCTTTCTTTCTTTCTTTCTTTCTTTCTTTCTTTCTTTCTTTCTTTTCTTTCTTTCTTTCTTTTTTTTTTTTTCTGTGCTTTCCTGGCTGGCCATATCTCTAATGATAAACATACTCTATTTATACATGAGAATATCCTATCAGATTATAGTTGAGAATTCTGGGAGTTATTCCATCTCTTATAGCTAAATTTGAGCCTCTTTTATCATCACTGGTTTTTTTATACTTTAAGTTCTGGGGTACATGCGCAGAACATACAGTTTTGTTACATAGGTATACACGTGCCATGGTGGTTTTCTGCACCCATCAACCTGTCACCTACATTAGGTATTTCTCCTAATATTGTCCTTCCCCTAGCCCCCCACCTCCCAACAGGCCCCAATGTGTGATGTTCCCTCCCTGTGTCCATGGATCACTTTTTTTTTTTTTTAAAGTCTCAGATTTTTGGAATGTAATTTATTTTCCTGGTATCCTAGGACTTGCAAGTTATCTGGTCACTTTAGCCCTCACATTTGATGATAGTCACATATTTGTAAACACAACACACACACACACACACATACATACACACACACATATTCACACATGACATATTTATCAGGCATTTCTGAGCAGCTAATCATGCAGGACTCTCAAACACTAACCTACAGCTTTTCCCATTTATCTACTTGTGTAGAAACTAAGCATGGGGACTGAGAAGGCAACAGCAGGAGCATTCTAACTCTCACTGTCTTTAGCTAGGTCCCTCCCTCACTGCAGCTCAGCATAGTCCTGAGCTCTTATCTATATCCACACACAGTTTCTGACGCTGCCCAGTTATCACCATCACAAGTCTAAAGAAAAAAAAATGGGTTTGCCCATCTCTGTTGATTAAAACAATAAATAAATAAATAAAATAAGCCCCTAACCTCCCAAAAAACATGACCAAATAAGCACGAAGAAAAAGCAAAAACAATAGGTACATGAAGAGACTGGTGACACTGGGGTCTGAATGAGGCTTGAGTATAGGAAAGAGCTCTAGCAGCATAGTGGTTTAGAGGAGATGTTTGTTTCCTTTACAGACGCCTCAGCCTCAATAAGCTCAGGGTTGCAGGAATTTACTTTCAGAACAAACTCCTGTGGGGCTAGAATTATCGATGGCTAAAAGAAGCCTGGAGGAGGGAAAAATCATTAAGCATCCTCACCCTTAGTAACACAAAACAAAGGGGCCTGATTTCCCATAAGTCTTCATGGTGCGTGATCTTGTTAATGAAAGCGGTCTGACGAAATCACTGCTTCTTCCATTTAAGCCTTGCTCACGTGCCAATCCTCAGTTTTAACCTTCCCCAGAGAAATACACATTTTTTTTAATTCAGGAAACATACTATGTTATAGTTTCAGTACTAAATAATCAAAGTACTGAAGATAGCATGCGTAGGTAAGAAAAAGTCATTAGCTTTATGTTGCTGTTGTTTCAGAATTTGAAAAAGATCACCAAGTCAAGGCCTTCTCGGTTTCAGTGCTAGAGGTGGAATCTTAGCATATACTCAGATGTTTTTCAAAATTTCTAGACATAGGATTCAAAGCCCTGCACTTAAAATAGTCTCATTTGAATTAACTCTTTATATAATTTGAAAACACATTCTGAACTACTTTAGAGTATTGTTTTATTTCTATGTTCTTAGTTTATAGAATACATTAGGCAATGCAATTTAATTTAAAAACCCCAAGAATTTTTTAGAATTTTAATCATGAAAATAAATGAAGACAACTTTATTTACTCAAGGTCTCAAAAGGTCAAAGAAACCAGGAAAGTAAAGCTATATTTCAGAGGAAAATGGGATATTTATAAGTTTTCTAAGTTGACAGACTCAAGTTCTAACCTTCAAGGCCCATGATGTAGGAAAGTGTGGCGATAACTGGCTGATTCTGGCTTTCTACTCCTTTTTCCCATTAACGATCCCGCCTGCTTAATTAACATTCACAAGTATCTCTGGTTCTGCTTTAGGCACAGTGGCTCCCGAGGTCCGTCACACAATAGGATGTCTGTGCTCCAAGTTGCCAGGGAGAGAGATCACTCTTTAGAATGAGCCCCAGCCCTGGCTCAAACTCACCTGCAAACTTTTTGAGAAATGAGGCAGAGGCACGCATGAAAACAACAGTTAGTAGCTAAATGACGAGAACACGTGGACACATAGAGGGAAACAATGCACACTGGGGCCTATCAAAGGGTGGAGGGTGAGAGACGGAGAGGATCAGGAAAAATGACTAATGGATACTAAGCTTAATACTTGAGTGATGAGATCACCTATACAACAAACCTCCTTGACACTCATTTATCTATGAAACAAACCTGCACATCCTGTACATGTACCCCTGAACTTAAAATAAAAGTTTAAAAAAAAAAAAAAAAGAAAGCAACCGTTTGCACACTTGTTATGGTCTATTCTCTCATTCTTTACAATGACACTAGAAAATAGCCACAGGCTTCCTGCAAGGCAGCCACAGAATTTATGACTTGTGATATCTAAGTCATTCCTGGCTAA